TCAAGGAATGGCTAATGGACTGTTTAAAACAATTATCTACACTAATTGCTCTTATTTACCTATGACTCTATGTGCACATGAAAGAAACATCAAAAAAATATAGAAAAATCCACACTGTAGAAAAATCATCTCCTCAGGAGCCCCTTAGCATGAGATGTACTTTCTGCCAGAACACCTGGACTCACACTCTGGCTAAACACACAGGAGGTGGGAAGAGCAAATGTACTTGTAAACTTTATAGAATTTAAAAGAAATTTCATCCACTTCCATATTCTGGTCTTGGTTTCTTCATGTGCTTTTGATTTACAGCTATTTATAATATCTACTTATTAATATACACTCTATCTCAATTCCAAAAAGACATGCGGTACTATTTTGCAACATATAGTACTGATAAGAGCATAATTGAAATTTACAATTAATCCCCAACCTGTCATTCAATTGAAAGAATGCTCTACTAGAAGCCAAAAGACACACATTCTAATTCTAGTTCTTTAACCAGTTAGTTTTTAGATATCAGAGGACACACTGGCTTTTTGTATGTTCATTTGTAATATAATGTCAGTTGTCTGCACAACTGCCAATCATCGAGCAGTGCCTTTCAAGATCAGTATTTCCCAAAATCTCTCCTGAGAGGAGTGTAATGCTTTTGAGTAGAGCTGAGGCTTTGCCACAGGACTTTTAAAAAGCATCTGGATTCTTCTCATTGCCTGCTTAGGAGGCTTCTGGACCCCTCCCTTTCTTGCTAGCATAATCAATACAATTTGTCCAGAGGCGGAGAAGCATGAACAAGTATTATTAACCAACTAGAGGCAAACATCTGTGGAATCATGGAAATATGCTCAGAAGAACCACAGCTTCCACAGAGCAGACTTGGAAAAATTTTTAACTCTATGATTTTACTATTGTGACTCTTGCTATTATGAATGATTCTTTACTATTCTACCTGATGTTTTTGCCACCGTTTCTCTTAAGCAGACTCCTGGGCTAACAATTTCTAGGATGTATGGAAATAGACACTGGCCAGTTTCAGAAATAGAATCTTGACGTTGCTGGAATGATTTGCCAGTTGGGACTGAATCAGGGTTCCGTCATTTGGCATTGCATTAGAAAATCCATTAGAAAATAAACGGTAGGAAATAATTTAGATGAATGAGGTTGGAATTCTGTGGTTGTTCACTTGATTAAAACTCCTCTTACAAATTAAAAATATATCCCATTAGCTTATACAGCATCAAAAATGTGAACCCTTTTAGGCTGGCAAAAGGATTTTGAAGTTTACATTTTTCATCCATCTTTGTTGAATGAAGCATGAAGAAATACATTTTTTACACTTATGAGACTGCCTTAAAGATGTAGAGAAGGGTTTATAAAAGGTTTTACAAAAAGTGTGGGTTTAAAAGGTTCATGAGTCCACCAGGTAAAAAATAGCCAAAGGGGTGATTCAGGTCAAGGGAGCATTACCTACAGAAGCACAGGGACTGGAGAGAAAGCAGTAATTTTGAGAAATGGCAGGTGGCTCCCAGTGACCACAGGATGGCTTGGGAGGAGCGGCCAGCAGTACAGACAGCCAAGAGGCAGCAGCCACAGCATGGAGACTGGAGAGATGGAGTTTATAAATACTGTGCGTACGCATGAAATCTCAGGCAGGAGGGCCAACCTCTGTGTCCATTCTACAGTGTGGGGAGAGCTGTTGTTGGTCTTTCACATAAAACATGACCCTGTGGCTGCTTATCTTATGTCGGAAAAAAAAGGTTTAAAATTATACGAAACACAAAACATAGTTTGACCTCAGAGAGAGAACCTCAGAGAGAGGTTTGACCAATAAAAGACACATTTTTGATGACAAAACGATGTAAGCATAAAAATCTTTTGTTGCCTAATACTTAATTGTGTCTCTTCGGTAAGAAAAGCATGTAAACAAATAATGATTAATTTCCCCATTTTCTTGAGAGTGAGAAGCAGTGATTACTAGGTCTTGTTTTTCCTGGGCGATCCTAGTGAACATGTTCCTTCAGAAGCAAAACCAGTCCTGATGGCTCCCAGGGGCCCAGTGGGGACAGTGAAAAGGCCGAGGGCTCCACCGATGAATGGCACATAATGGGGGTCCTGTCCTAATGAGGGCACCTTGCAATTCTTCACCTAAACAGGGTCTTAGCACAGACAACACAACTGGTTAGACTCCTGAGAAGCCAGGAACACTGCATCTATGCCAACTGTGTCCCCCGTCCTGACCCCATCTGTGACCCTTCCTCACCCTGGGCCAACAAAATGAAAAGAGAATGAGAGACCAAAAAAGGCTTTGTTGCTGTCTCCCGTCACTTGTCATCTCTACCGAAAAGCAGATAAATACAAATTTCCCTGTTGATCATTCCAGGAATGGAAAACACACAATTTGCTTGCTACACCAAGAAGGTAAGGAAAGGGAAGATTTTCTCCCCATCATTCATCGCTGCCCAGATTCCTCCAGCTGATTCGCAGGAATCATTTGTAGTAGCTGGCTAATGAGTTTGGACGTGGTCCTCGGCCAGTGGGCACCCATTGGAGGTTTTCTAGGCAGGAACTTCTGTAATCAGATCTGAGCTTCGGAAAGGTCGCTGGGGCAGCAGCAGGCACTGAGGAAGGCAGCCCTGGGAGGGAGAGGTCGGCGGGAGCCCCGGGCAGTGACCTAACTGATGATGACCCTCTGGCCTGGCACAGCAGCTGTGGACAGAGACTCAGAAGAGTGGGCAGAGGGGAGGGCGTAGAAAAAAAAGGAGGAGCTGGAGATGAGGCCAGGTCCCAGGCTCAGTGTAGGGGAGGCAACTTTTGTCATCAGATAACTTTTGTCACCCTTTAGCTAATCTCATCATTTAACTTACATTACTAGTAAAACTGGCTTTTGGAGCCAAGGAGTTCAACCTTTTGAGTTTTGGCGCATACCTGGGAAGCAACCTCCAGGAAAGCTACATCCGTTCATTGTTTTCTGAAAAGCACATCAGAGGCACCTGATGCTGGAACCAGTAGGTTCAAACCCAGCTCTGCCACCCAACAGCCATGTGACTTTAGATGAACCAGTGACCTCACCTCTGGGTGCCTACTCCTCATATTTTAAAGAGTCTACAATGGAGTACTAAGTATAATGGATTTATTTTACTCAGCCCACTAACCTTAGCTCAGTGTCTGGCATGTAGTCTCCATTTAAGAAATATTTCTATCCCTGTCTAAGACAAAAATCAGTTCTGAAGGAATACAAAGTCCACTTTCAAAGAAGGGAAAGCTCAGGGGGACCAATGGGTGAAAAAAAAAAAAAAAAACTTGTAAAAGCATTGAATGAAAACAAAATTGTTTTTCTGAGAAACTTCATAAAAAGAAAGTTGGAAACCAGTTCGCAGGCACAGGGATAGATATATTGACACTCAGCCTTTTGAAGCCCTCAACACTCTGCTTATAAGTAGAATATCAAAAACAAGCAAGAATAATTTCCTCCCCTAGGTCTTCCCTTATTGCCTAGCTTTCCTGTCACACATTTGCATAATGGGGTCCTCTTCATCCATTATGCAAATGAGCAATGTGGCTGCAAGGCTGCTAAAGCCACCGACCTGGCTCATGGGAAGATTGTTCCTCACCTGCTGCCAGCCGTGTTCCAGGCTTTGCTAGCCTGACTTCCAAAAGGCACAGGCCAACCATGAAGTCCCTGGGGCATTCATTTCCTTTTGGTTGGTTTTAAAAGAAAGAGTATAGATGCATTTCAGAAAATCAGGACAAAATACGGTTATTTGGTGCCATCACACGTAAAATCAACTTAATAGCATAGATTTCATTTGAAACGGAGAATGTGAGTACTTTGCATGATTTTCAGGATTCTGAGCATATGCTTTGCTCCAAAACAATTCTCTTTGCAAAGAAAGTAAAGCCTGTCCTTCTGGCTAGAGAATTAAACTCTAAGAGGTGTGTTAAGCAGGCTCAGAATGTTATATACACATTTTTTTTTTTTTTGGTCTTTTTCCTTTTTATCGGTACCAGGGATCAAACTCACGACTGCCTGCTTGCAAGGCAGGCGCTTATGCCACTGAGCTAAATCCCCAACCCCTTATATACACATTTCATAGGAATAAAAATTGTTTTATGAACCAAAATATCACTGCACTTTTAAAAACTTCCATGCTGTTAAAACTGACCTAACCTTTAGGAAGTATTACCAAAACATGTTATTTCTCTTGGAGTTGTAAATTGACCAAAACTTTAGAAGAATGTTTATTTTCTTTCTACAAACACCTTCAAAGCAAATATTATGAAAAACAATTCTGAGCAAAATTACCAGCATTGCTCTTGTTTGAATACACCAGCAGGAAAGAATTTCAAAACTAACTTCAAAACAGCCTCTCCAATGCATGAGATACATATTGGAAGAAAAAACAACAAAGAAAGGACAGCTAAGGAAGAAAAGTGGCCTTTGTTTCTTGTCTGGGTTCCTTGATAATTCTTTGCTTTTTTCCAAATGATGTTTTTCAAGAAATTCTTTGAAAGTAATCCTCAATCAGGCATGGTGGCACACGCCTATAATCCCAGTAATCAGGGGGCTGAGGCAGGATGATCTTTGCAAATTCAAGACCAGTCTGAGGTACAAAGTGAATTCAAGGCCAGCCTGAACTGCATAGAGGCCCTGTCTCAGACAAAAAAAAAAAAAAAAAAAAAAATGATCCTCATAGAATACTATGGAACCTAGTCATTTACATACATCATCTGACTGTCCCCTATGTTACTTCGAGGGTGTGCAATTCAGATTCACCTTCAACTTTTCAAGGGGAAAAAAAATCATAGTTCTACCTACAGTACTTAGCTGAGCTGCAGAGCTGCAGATGCTATAAAGAACAATGTTTTAAAAAGCAATTCAGAGAGAGACAAACATGATTTTTTAAGAAAAAATATTCTAGGATAAAAGTCATGAAGGAACAACATAACTGTAAGATGACACACTTTCACCCAGGTGGCCAGCGCGTCACCGGCAGCGCACATACCTAACTTCAGAGCAGAAGGGGTCACTTCAATTTCCCCACCGACTGGTTTAAATGCAGCCAGTTGAGCAGCCACTTCTGTGTCCAAGGCATCAGGGCTCTGCCGACCTGCCGGGTTTCCGCCAGGGCTCTCAGTCGTGCAGGGTGGTTCCTGCTCCTCAAACACAGCAATCAGCTGCAAACAAGGCCAATAACACTCGTCACTTTCCAGGACGGGCACATCACAGAGACATGGCATCTAGCTGACTGAGGTTTTCACTTGGTTTTAAAGAATAAGTCTCTTCAAACTTAAAAATGTAATGTTACTATATCACAACTCTTAATTCTTCAATGATATTATGTCTATAAACTCGGTGGCCAGGACATAATGAATGATTTGTTCTATATTTGGTCTATTCCTAAAATAGACAGCTGATTTTGGTTCTTTCCAAGAAATGTAAGGACTGCCTCCTCCTTTCATCACTTTTCTCTAATTTGCCTAAAGAATTTCACTAATGTTTTATTTCAAAAATATTCCTAAAGAAGAAAGGAAGTTAAATATGCACAAGTTGAAAAACAGACTTAGTGCAGACATAATACGCACTAAACAACAGACACAGTAAAAGCGGTTGTCAGAAAGCTAAGCACATTACAAAATCTTTAATTGCATCTGTCCTCCTAGCAAATATCTGTATCTACATATATGTACATACACATGATATTTTGTTGCAAACAGTCTATTTTTGTCTGATAGACATAGATATCTAACTTTTGTATGTTTCCTTCATGACTTATTCTATGTTGAACAGCTGAAGTCCAAAAATCCTAAATCCATGGTAATTCAGCATCAGCACTCTTAACCTAATTATTCTCATTCCATCTAAATTTTGCTTCATCTGAGAGCTATGTGCATCATTAATATAAAAACTTTGCTTTTCATTGCTGAGCCATTTCTCATTAAAGGACACTACTGCCCAGATAGCATGGGCAGAGAGAGCACTTTGGGCCAGCCAACAGCTCTCCCATAGAAAGCTTGAACTGTTTCTCAGCAGCTGATACAGAAAAGTCTAAGTGTGAATTCAGGCAGCAGCTCAGGGATGCTCCTATCAACCCAAAGAGTGCTGTGTGTAAATGTGGAAATTGCTAGCAAACCTTTAGATATTTTTCATTCATTAAATAAAATAAACTTTTGATTCGAACATTTACTCAGAAAAGGCATTCAAAAGTCACATTCATAGGGGAACCTTGTTGGCATTAGTATTAATAACATAAATGCTGGGGTAACCAATCAAAACATCCTACATTCTAACCTCTGTGTCTTTTAAAAGAAATGAACACAAATAGGGATATGTAAATTGGCTATTCAAAAATAATTTTCATAATTGACTACTCATTTCCAGTATGGAGACTTCTTTAATTGGAAAACCCAACAATCCTTCTAGCATGGAAAAGAAATGCTTGCTCCCAAGGCATTATTTTTAATTCTTGAAATGGAGCACATGCATTTTCCATCTTTAATTGCTAGCATTGATGAACTGATCTGAGATAATAGTCAAATGGATTAATAATGAAAGATTATATAAGTATAAAAATAATCTGCAGAACCATATCTTTCTAATCATCTAGTCAAAATGAAGAGTTTAACACATTAAAATCCGAAAAGAAAAATAAAATTAATATTTAAAATATGATTTAAAAAGCAATAGAAGTGTTTTCATCACTAATTCTATGCCATAATTATGATTGTAATTTTGCTTATTGGTGCATTCTAATACACATCAGTTATGTTCATTTTTCTATGCTAATCAACTAGGCTGTGACATGTTATATTGGTGCCATGAACAAATTTGTGTAAGATTAATATTTCTTTTCTTTCCTGTCTCATTTCATTATAATTCATTTCCTTCAACTCTTGGGGAGAAGAAAAATAGTAGCATATCACACAGATATAATATGAAAGATTAAAATTGAGATATTATAAGTACTATCTCTCCCTTTTCATATGATAACTTAACATTTCTCATACATTATATCCACACAAGTTTATAATATATGTAGTAACAAGATTATACCAATTTATCAAATGGGAAAACACAGTGTTGTAGAAACATTTTTTTCATGGTTACTGACAAGTAGTATCTGTAACAGATTCAGGCTTTTTTCCCAATCAGTTTTCAGACAATCCCATGACCATTTTTTTTTTCAAAAAGAAAAGACTACAGACTAGAACATTTACCATTTGTGGGTGGAGGCATATGCACTGAAAATCATGACCTGCATTTTTTGGTGATACATGGTACACAGCTCTCCTTGTACTGTGACAGTGACAGGTGACAGTGAGACCCAGATGTTCCCCCAAAGATCATAGTGTCTTGTTCAGTCGGTCTCCCAATCTATCCTGGCCAGGAATCACCTCAGCTGAGCCTGGACTGAATGAATGGGTGAAATCAAGCCTCTACTTGTGGGAAGAAAGGGACCAGCTTTTGAGTCTGTGGTACCCAAACAATTCAGTGGCCCCCAAGTTCTGGCTGATAACAAAGACTCTCTATCTGGTCTCCATCTCAACTTCCACAATGTACACAGCCTTATGCTTGTTTCAACACTGACAATTTATGTAAATCATATATGCAAGTCCTTATTCACTAATTCCTTGATTCCTGAAGACACTGACATTACTGAGGAATAGAGTTCCTGAAAGACGCTGTTTCAAAGAGGCAGTGATCAACACAAACCTTCATCCCAGTCCCTCAGCAGAAGGCAAGTTGCTTAGTGTCTGTGAATGCCCCCATCCCTGCCTTTAAATCCATTCAGTTATCTTTCTCACACAGATGAGCAACCACAGAAGAAAGAATTCTACTGACCAACTTTTAGGGTAAAATTTCACCTACGCTTCTTTGGTTCCTGGAAGAATTTCCACTGAGAACTTAGGGGCTGCAATAAACAAGACCTCATTCACAATGCAAACCGACAGTAGGTGACTTGGGGGTTCCCTCTGCCACTGGTCTGTCTTGTGGCACATCTTACACTCTCTTTCCATGATGCTAGTGTTCTTGTGTCACCCAGCATGGTATAAGATTTCTCAACAACCCCATAACATAAAAAGATCGGTCACATGGCCTTTCTTTTAATGGAAAGTCCTTTACCCTCAGATCTCTGTCAGCACTTAGGCAGAAAGCTCCTGCTACACAGAATAGACCAGTCATTAAGTATGCTGTCAGTTCTTCCATCCAACACAAACACAAATTTCCCCAGGACTCACTTACCCACTGGGTGCCAACCTGCTTTTTGCTTCCTAAGACAAACTTTGAAGGCACTACATACACAGCGACTGCCAACCTCGCCTCCAATATTCCATTCTTCAGAGAAGCAGCTCTGCTCAGCCTATGTCCACCATGATTATCAAGGTCAAAACTGCAGTGATCAAAGTCAAAGCAACCTCTAGATCACTAACGCCAAGGTCTTCTCTACTGTAAATATAGGACGAAGCTGAGCACTGACTTCTGGCCAAAGGACTTTGCTACATGCCTTCCAAGGCACACTACTGTCTTGGCTTCCCCTTTAACTTAGTGACCCCAATTAAAGCTTCCTTTTGCTTATTTTTCTTCATCTCCTGGTTTGATCTCTAAAAATTGCCAATTAGTCTATGTCTCAGTTTGGGATCTCAATTGTCTCACATCTTAGCTAGAACTATACGCTGATAAATTGAAGCTTAGTGTTTATACCAGTGATGGCAAACCTTCTGGAGCTTTGCATGATACAGTTAGTTTGCTGTGGCACAGATGGCACAGCCTCACCATCACTAATCCTGGGCCTTCTTCCTGAAACCCAGGTTCATGGTGCCAGCTGTAGAAAACTGAACAGCTGATCTTCCAAACCTCTTTCTACAGTCCTTTACATGCTAGTCAATAGAATGGACCCTTCCAACTTGCTCAGACCATAGACGCTTGTGATAACTCTGCCTCTTTTTCTCTTTCTCTGTCCATCTGCCTGTACCTCCCTGTCCCATGCCTCAAAAACCCCCTTGCACTTAATTTCTCAACATATCTCAAAAAATAACTTGCCTTTTACCATTTCCACACCTGCACTGTTACCACTCTGTCCCAGCTACTGTGTCTTTCCAATGTGTTACGGCGACAGCTTTGCCAACAGCCTGTGTCCCTCGGTGGAGGAATATCCAGCACAGCAGGACTCGCACGCTAAAATGGAAGTCTCTCCCCCAGTCAGACCCTTGCAATCCTTTCTGACTTTCCATGGAGAAATGTCCAAGCCCTTGCAGTGGCTGTAAGGTATGTGGTGCCCCAGTTCTATTTCTTCATTGTGTTCTGATGGTTCTTTCCCTGTTCGCATGGTTCTATCCATGTTTCTATCACCTCGGGTCTTTATAGTTGCCATATTCTCTCCCTGGAATAGTTTTCTTGCACTAGGCACTCTCTGGCTTGTTCCTCAACCCTTCAGATCTTTACTCACATGCAAGTTTTCCATGGCTATGCAAAACTTTGACCTCCTCACTACCATCTCAGAGTTCCTTTCTTCATTATCCCATATACTGCTTACCACCTTTGGATGCTGTGCCTTTTCCTACTTGTCTCCTTTCTGGCATTCCGCTACAATGCACACTTGCAGCGTACAGCTAGTTACCTGTGTCTCTGTCCGATGACTGTAGTTCCATTGGCTAGGACAGGTGAGATGACATAAGAGGTAATAAAGTGTATTGATCAATAAAAAAAGTGAAATAATGGAGCAAACTAGATGACGACACCTAATATGTCAACAAGAGATTCCTACATTTTCACGTTTTCAGAACATTCAACTTACAAAATTTAAATGAATGTTTATCAGTGACCAATAATTACCTCTATAGTTGTCTAAATATCATCATCATAAATATTGTCTTGTTTTTAAATTTATGAAGAAACTTCTCATTTTTTACTCAACACTGAGGCAATTGCTTCTAGCATATCACACTCCAGAAATGGAGATCATGCATCCTCCAGCCCCTTTTCAGGTTCATTTTGAAGGAGAAGAACCAGCTTTTTTGGTCTCTGATGAATGGAAGCTTTGATGTAGGGGTGGAGGGGAGGTGGCAGATTAGCACTTAGGCCCCAGATGCTATCCTGCCCACTTCTGTCCAAGGTGCCACTGGGTTAACTCGGGTGAAGCTCCTAGATGTACCCCAAAAGAGCTCAAACACAAATA